GAGGAAGCCTCTTAGCTATGGAAAAAGGGGCTCAGTGGCATGGCACAACCTGGGGAATTCCCCTGGGCTATTGGGAACTGGGGAAAGCAGGCCAAGCTCTGCTCTTCTTGCCTGCCCTCGAAGGACTGAGATGCTGGACATGAGAGGAAAGCTTGAACAAAGGGGCCTGGGCCCATGCTGAATCTGCAGGATGCTGAGGTCTCTGAGGCAGGGCTGTCTGGCTGCAATTCCCTCCACAGTGGTGAGGCTCTGTGTCTGAGAAGTCCACACAGCAGCACTGGCTGCAGGTAGCAGCAGAGCATTTGGCATGGGTTTGGTTGATGCGGGTTTATGTCAGTGTTACTCGCTTGTGCTATCTTTGCGTTTCAACAGCCACCTGTGGTCCTGGCCCCTGCCGGACTGTGTAGCTCCAGAATGTGGAGAGAGTGAGCAAATGGGGGCCCGCTCGTTCTTCATGTCTGGAATCAGATCTTTCCAAGAACACTAAAAATAACCTTTAAAAAAATAATGCCAAGAAAAGCTGCATGTTGCTGGGCCGCGGCGCGGGAGGAGCTGTGAGAGGCCCTACCCATCAGTGATGGCGCCATCTGGCCACGAGGCTCTGCTGCGGGGGAAGGAAAATTCTTGACTCATCCCTATTTTTAACTGTGCTTGTCTTTGGATCCGAGAGACACCAAGGCAGAGAGCACCACGGGCGCCCCTGGCCCATCACTCTCTTCCATTAGGACCAACTCTGCCCCAGGCCACAAACCAGTTTTCAAGGAGCCGCAGAATCAGAGGAAGGGAACCCCTGAATGCCCACAGGACCCTGGCAGAGCAGCTCCTCTGGGTGCCCAGCAGGCATAGCAGGGCCCAGGGTCATCAACTGCTCTATCTCTATGGCCAGCTCCCTTGTCACCACAGTACAAAGTGGCAGGTCACTGTGGCCCAGACTGAGGTACGCCTACCCAGCCACCAGGACTGCCACATCACTGCTACCGCTGCCACCTACAGCTTGCTCCTCTCCCGTGTTACAAAGCCATGGTCAGTGCCTAGGTCCACACAGCTCAGTACTGAGGCCAACTCAAATACCCAGTGCCAGGCACTGGGGCTGTGCAGAAGGTGGTGGGAGGTCCCACATGAGGAACCCTGGAACTAGGTATGTCGCAGGGATCCTAGGTTTTGCAGACCAACCAAGCACCTGAGAGAGATGTTGCATCTGTGAGGTTTCAACAGTAGTGGCCCGGTGCCCAATGTCCCACGTCACCTCTTTCTGAACTCACCTTGGCCACAGGTGTCTGTTTCTACATTAGGATCCCATATACTGTACGGTGTAACTCTAAATGGTGTCCCCAAAGTTGAAAACCCTGTCACCTCCCCACAGACTGGAAGCATGTGGTTGAAGCTAGCCAGCCTGGTCCGTTGTGCTGGGATAGCAGCTGGGGATATGTCAACAAACTTCTGGTCTGCCCAGTCTTCATCACACTCTGCCTGCCTGAGGCATCAGCCTTGCCATTCTCTGAGGGTCCCCTTATCTGGACTGAACTTCACAGGGCTGGGAGAAGGAATAAGAATTAAGTATAAGGCAGAATGCATGGTTCTTGAGCACTGATGTGACATCACCAGGCTGGATAGAGTAGTGTGGAGCTCTGACCTCATGGCTGCAGGATCCCAGAAGAGGGGCCAGATATGGCTCTTATAGCCCAGGACTAGCAATCTGGACAGTGATCCCTGGTAGCCTCACCCTTGCCTTGCCCATTTGATTCCTGCAGACAGATCTCTCCAGCCCATGGGGTTCACTTCCCTGTGGGTAGACAATATTTCTCTCCTACAGAACACCCCAGAAGAGCCATGTGCTGTGTGCTGGATCTGTGGTTGGCTCAGACTGCTCCAGGCTGATACAGGGCATGTTGTACAGAGGTGATGACTCCAGCAGGGTGGCACAGGGTACACTTATTTCTTCCCTAAAAGTTCCAACCCCTTGGCCCCACCAAGCTCAGGTACATACTAATTTTAGGCTGGGACAAAACCTATGCAGGGCCTCCCCAGAACCTACTGTGTCAAAAGATATCAATAAGGCACTATGTACTGATCCATAGAGCAAAGGAGCCTGGGTAAGCTGTGGGGTGTGGGCAGTTGGTGGGCGGGGATGTTCCTCAGAGACCTCAATTATGGTGGGCAGAGTAGGTGGGATCAGAGAGGAGATGCCAAGACAGGCATCTGTCTTGTGATGGTTAGTACTGCTGGGCATCCACCAATTGCTTTTTCCTGACTCCCCTGCTTGGGCCTCAGCAGTACGCATGGCAGCTTACTGGATTCCCAGCCTCACTGGTCACCAGAGGCCAAGGCAGCCTCCAAGGAAGCACAGAATAAGCTGTGCCTGAAGCCTGGGTCCTTCCTTCCTCTCAAAAGGGAGGGCAAATACTTCACAGCACTCTCCCTGTTGTGACACTCTTGTCTTCATCACTGCAACCCGCAGATCTCTCTCTCCAGTCTCCTTGTCTCTTCCATGAAGACCATATTCCTGGTGGATCTCTTTTTTTTTTTCTTTTTTTCAGTACTGGAGTTTGAACCCAGGGCCTCTGCTCTGAGCTACATCTTCACCCTTCTTTTATTTTAATTTTGAAGCAGGGTCTTGCTCAGTTGCTAATTGGCTCAGGTTGAGCTTGAACTTGTGATTCTCCTGCCTCAGTCTTCCAGAACACTAGGATCACAGGCATATGCTACCATGCCTGGCTTGAATCTTCAGGAGACTTTTATTCCAGGTAAAGGACTGGCCTGGATAGCTGGATATTTCTACTCTTCGTGTTCTAGGAGATCCACTGGGTGGCAGGGGCCACTGCTCCTGTGTCCTGACAGTGCCTGACTGATGGCTGAGAGCCTGGCTTTGGAGTTTCAGGACCAGGTCTGGGTGGTGATTAGCCAGTGTTTAAAGACAGGCTGTGTGGGTGGGGATGGGGCTTTTGCTGGATTCTTCAAGATTCTTAGCTCCTGGACAAATCCAACAGGCAGTTTGGAAGGTAGGGGTCAACCACAGTGTGAAGAGGGAGACAGGACCCATGGAAACACTTATGTGGGAAGAATCAAGGGTGCTTCAGGCTGGGGTGAGTGTTGGCATAGCATGGGGGAGGCTTTGGGTCCCATTGCCAGCACCAAAAAAATAAAAATAAAAGAAAACACAAAAGACTCATGCCACACTCACATCCCACACTGCAGCTCACAGGATGCTCTGGTCCCAGCTGGCCTCTTCTGTCCCAGCCCCTGACCAATGTGAGTCAGCCTCATTGATAGGGCTCCTGCAGGACACTGGGCACTGCTTATGGGCAGGAAAAAAGCACGTGGCTGTGCCTGTGCCTTAAAGTCCTGGACCGAGCTATTCTGGGGCCCAGGCCAGGTCCTCCTGCTATGTGGCTCTGGGCATGTTGCTATCTTCTCTGTAAGGCTCAGTTCCAGTGCCTGGGGATGGTGGACAATTACAAATGCCCTGTAGGGTCTCTGAGCTGAATGGGCTGCACATGTCCCTGGAGCTCAGCAGAGCCTCAGGGGCTCTATCATGGCAGCAACCAAATGGTGTAGAAATTCATATCATTATTAGGTGTTTTACAAATATGTGCTTCAGTTAATGTTCATAATAACCCCATGGAGACTAATCCTCACTTCACTGGGAGAAGGGCACTCAGAGGTTAGTGAGATGGCTTGAGGCCACTCAGCTCAAGACGGAGTGTTCGGCATGTGTAAGAAGGCAACAGAATGTCTGCAGTGACTACTGAGTCCCAGAATGAGCAGATTGGTGTGAGCCTGGCCACAGACTCCAGGTCCTTCTGCCGTGAATACAGAGCTGTTCATGTTCTAGGAGACCCCTTGGGTGGCAGGGGGCCCCTGTGCCTGTGTCCTGATAGTGTCTGGCTGATGGCTGAGAGCCTGGCTTTGGAATTTCAGGGTCAGGTCAAGCTTGTCTCCGCCCCTGCTTGGCCACGTGGACAAGACCTCTGTGTGCATTGTCAGCTTCTGCTATGGAAATGGTGGGTGCATGTCTTATCCTCAACTCCAGCTATGCAGAGGAGGTGACAGGACATAGCAAGGGTCAGGTGCTTGCATAATTGTGGGGTTTAGAAGTGGAAGTGGTGACTGGTACTCTGCTAGTTGGAACCTGCCTTTGTGCCAGCCAAGCCCAGTGGGTCACACATCGAGGGCATGAGGTGAGCATTGTACAGGGTTGCTCACCCTAGAGCCAGGATCTGGATCAAGGGTCCGGTGGGGAGGGGTGTTGTCAGCTTTCTGTTATAACAAATACCTGAGATGATCAGCTTACGAAGAGGATAGATTCATCGTGGATGACAGTTTTGGAAGTTCCAATCCATGACCAATTGGCACTCTTGCTTTTGGGCCTGTAATGTGGCAGCATGTCACAGGGACAGTGTGAAGCAGAGCAAAACCATGGATCTCAGGGGCAGAAAACAAGAGAGTGTGAAGGGGCTGGGATTCCCCAGAGCCCCTCAAGTGCATGGTCCAATGACCTAAAGACATCCCGCTAGGTTTCATCACTTCCAGGTACCATCATATCCTATTAGTATCACTTTAACATGTGGACTTTTGAGGGATACTTGTCCAAACTAGCAAGAGGTGAGATTGACTCCAAATAGCTTCTAGAAGAGTTCAGGGTCAGCTTAGTGGGTGGCGAGAGAGCTCGGAGCCCTTGAGTTGATGCCTATTGCTGTGTGAGGTCGTCAGCCCCCACTTAGCACCTGTCCCAGGGGCTCAGGCAGTCAGGGGGCAGGCTTAGGGTAGGTGCATTTCCATGAAGGGAGGCCAAATGTGCTCATTCTCAGAGTAGCCTCAGAACAGAGCTTGTCTTACCCCACCCTACCCTTCCCTCCCAAACTTCTGGCTGGAAGGCAAAAAGCTCAGGGTCACTACATTATTAGTCATTTTCCCAATGCTGAGAGGACATACCCAAAACTCACAACTTAAAGGAGAAGAGGTTTATTTGGATCATGGTTTTCAGAGGATTCAGTCCGTGGTCAGCCCACTCCAAGGGAGAAACAGCATGGCAGAGGGGTGTGGCAGAGAGAAGCTACTCAAATCACTGCAGCCAAGAAGCAGAGAGGGAAGGAAGGGAGGGGTCAGGGAGAGGAATAAACCCTTCCAGAGTCCCTGAGGACCCATCCTCTCCAACCATGCCCTACCTCCAAATGTGAGACTTTGGGAGATTTTTAAATCCAAACTTAAATAGTCATTAATTGGGGAGATTCTGGCAAGGTGCTGCTTTCTCTGATGGTACTAAGAGGTGACATTTGTGCCAGAAGGAGAGGTTGGTTTATGACCTAGTCCACTATGGCCAGGGGAAGGGGCTGCACAATGCCCACAGGTCTGAATCTTGTCCTCTTTATCCTCTTGTTGTCTGCCATGGTTCCCAGCTAGTGAGCCTCTCTCAGGGCTCCTCATCTCCCTGGGGTTGGGCTGTCCCTTGAGAGTTCCAAGGCAAAGCCTTATCTGGGAGAGTGGCATGGGAGGCTGGTGGGAAATACCTGCAGGTCTTTTCATCAGATTCCTAGGCTGTTGGCCAGGGCCAGCTCCTCAGGTGCTTTGCTTCCAAGCAAGTGCTCTTGTTCTCCAGCACTGGAAAGGGGTGGGCAAACGACCCCAGGCTCTTGCAACAAAATTCTTAGAGACTGGGCTCATGAGTAAGTCCTCTACCACCAGTCCCTGTGGCATAAACGCCGTGCTTTGATGCATAATTGCTGGTTTCCTGCAAGTCGACCATTCAAAGGAGGAAAGAGAAAACCTCCTTCATTTTATCTGGGAAGGCGGCAAGTGTGCACTCTGGCTCCCCTATGGTGGCAGCCTTTACTGAGATCACAGCAACAGGCCAGCAATTAGACCCCAGCCTGGGAATCAATTGCAGTCGCTAAAGAGCTTGCAAGGGCTGGCAATTGCACAGCTCAATTGCTGTAGGGGCCTCTGGGGTGGTGACTGGTTCTATCATACCCAGAGGAGGTGTTTACAGTTCAGGAGGGCAAGCAAGGCTGTCCAAAGCCCAGACAGAGGTGGCTCCTTCCAGGAGGGGTGTTCAGGTCCCTGCAGACCCCACAGTGGGGCTTATCCTTGTTCTGAGAGAATCTCTATTCTCACACACTCTTCCTGTGGCTTCCAGTATTGTCTTTGCAGATGTAGGTTGGGCATAGTGCTTGCCTATCCTGAACAAGGCCCTGAAATGACAAGGAACTGCAATGACACATGAAAAACAAATGCTGCCTTTGCTGCTTGGCCGCAAATACCTACCTGCAACCTGGATCCCTTGGCTCTGCCCTTGTTCCTGCCCTTCAGACTTCAGTGTTATCACGGTCTCCCCTGTGTATCACCTGTCTTGGCCCTGCCTTTTCCCTTCTCAGGAACATGGGGCCAGACACCCAGTGGCTCTGGCTCCACTGTGGCCTTTGACAGGCCACAACTGCCCTCCCCACGCTGACTGTCCTCAGCCTGCAGCTGTCTCATGAAGATGTAGAATACCAAGGTGGGTGCCCTTCTTGCATCACACTATGACTAGGACATCCCCTCTGTCTGAGGGGCCAGCCTGTCTAGGAGACCCCTAAGCCAGGTTTCTCATCCCTTGAGTAAAGACTTCCAACATACCTGTGATGGTATCCATTGTGCCTCAGTGCTACCAACTCAAGATTGGGCCCTGATTTCTATGGCTCTGCTTAGACCCCAGTCCAAGCTGGTGGCCTCCACTTTCCTTTCTGGGCCTCATTTGCCTAGAACTTCCACTCCATAACCAACTGCACCCCAGCCTGTTGGGGCCTGTGGGGTGCAGCTGCCTGGGCCTTAGCACAGAGGCTCCTGCCACCCTTCAGGTCTCAGTAGGAAGACCGCTGGCTCAGAGGTGTGATAGTACTCATGCCCCACCCTGCCTGGTCCTGCAGATGTCCCCACCCTTGTTCTCCCTGAATGTCACAACCTCTTTGTTCCTTGCCTGAACATGTCTCTAGCTGGACAGCACCCAGCAGAGTGTAAGTCCTCACCCAGGAGCATGGGCTGACTTGTGGAGAGATAGGATGTCATGAGTGATCAGTGCTGTCTTTAGCCCCTTAGCCCCTGGCAGATCTTCTCCATTAAGGAAATGATGCTTGGAACTCAAGAGCCATGTCTTCCTTCTTGCTCCCAGCAGACACCACTCTCTGCAGCTAGTTGAGGTTGATGTAGCTCCAGATTCCACCCTGGATGTTCACCCTGGTGTCCAGGCAGGAAGGCAGAGGGGATAATTTGCATGATCCCTCCTAGTAGAACAGCCAAATGGCCAGAGGGGAGCACATGGGGGGATGGTTGGGGCAGGTAAGGGCAGCTCTTGGGTGACAAAGTGGGAATTGGAGACTGAATCACAGGTGTGGTGGCTGAGGAGAGGGAGAACTGTCTTGTGGTGACAGCAGGTGTCTCCTCGCTTATTAGAGGGCAGCCAACAAAGGCCAGGTTTAGGGGTCATCTTATCTGATGTACTAAGGAATAGGGCATATATAGGTAGCATAATGTGCAAATGAGGCTGAGTCTGGAAGTCTCCCAGATAATCCCTGATCGAATGGCAAATGTTTATGCACACTTCATCACAAATGAGGCCTCTTCTCCTTGAGCCAGCCATGCTGGGGGCCAAGGACATATCTGTGATTAAGGGCCTGCTGTCCCCAAAGGACAGAGGGTCTCTGTGTGTAGTGGCCAAGTACTGTGTCGAGTGTTCAGAGTGGGATAAAAAGGGAAGACATCCAGTGGGACTTCCCAGCTGCCATGCATACCATAGAAGATGTTCCCAGCAGGTGCAAAGACAAGTAGCAGGAAGCAGGGCTGGTGCAGGAGGCTGATGAGAGGTGATGGGAATGGACAGTGGGAGTGAGAGGTGATAACTGTCCTGGGGCCTCATCTGTGGAATTTAGGAAACAAGGCTGAAGCCACAAATATCCTGGGCACAGGATGTAGAAATAAACAACTGTGGGGTTGGATGCCTGGATCCCACAGGTTAATGGTTCAAAAAGCCCAGTAGGGCAATGGACTGGACCAGCCTCCTGGCTTGAAGCCAGGCCACCAGCCCCACTGCACCTACTTACAAAAGGCAGCAACAAAGAAGCATAAGACTAAGGGACCAAGTGGGGCCTGAGATGAGCCCTGGGGTAGTGGTAAGGTAAGTGGGATGGAAAAAGAGAGACTCAGACATTCAGCAAAGCAGGTAGATTCAGAGGAGAGAAAAAGGAAAGCAAAGTAAATGCACACTGACCTGTTCCTCCACAGACACACCAAGTCCTGGGAACAAGACAGTTTAGGAAAGGCAGCCAGGGTGGCTGGGGCAGATGAGGACAGGTCTGGGTTGAGAAAGTGCAGATAGGGAGGGAGAATCACAGCTGTGGTGGCTGAAAGGAGGGGTGCCTGGCTTATGGTGGCAAGAGGTATCTGGCTTGCTTGCTGTAGGGCAGCCAGAAAGGGCCAGATTTGGGTGGGAAGATGTGGTTTTGGAATACACTTTGAGGACTGGCTTTCTGCATCACTCCTGATATTACCATTAGCTAGAAGGACTTGAATGATACAGGAAAGTGGGGAAAATAACTGGGCATGTTGTAACCTTCTTTAAGCAGTGTGGCCTTCTTCAATAAGTAGTTTAAAAAGTCAATAATGGGAACAAGAATTCACTCCAGATAAAATAAACCCTGGAGAAAAACTTAGAAAGACTTTCAAACTAGTCTAAGTTACTTAAAGAGATGCATAAAGGTATAATTCTTATTAAGAATGTATAGAAATTATGGGAGGACAAGAGCAAAAGGAGGGGGAGGAGAGAGAGGGCTCTTCCTCCCACTGGATGAAGTAGTTAAAAGGTGATTTTGAAGGATTAATGGCTGGAGAGACGTTAGTCCTCAGAGAGGGATTTGTGGAGGCCTTTTCTTAAGTACTAATCATCCATGTCTGTGAAGAAATTGACAGGCTAGAGAAAGAACCATTTGAATGGATTGAATGAGAGTTCCAGACAGTCACAGGGCTAGGAACCGTGTCTGCTCTGCAAGCTAGAATGGACCTCATGATTCTTAGGACACTGGGGAGTACACACAGATAGGTCTCTTACCTTGAGCATAGGGGATAGTTAGCCATAGTTGGCATCTGGTCCTGCCCAAGAAATATTAACAGAAACATATGTAAGTATTAAATGGCTTTCAAGTAACTCACCTGAATCCCAGAGTTCAAAACTAGAGGAACACAAAAGTATCAAGCAATCAAACAATAATATTCACAATGTCTTACATCCAATAAAAAATTACCAAGCGTTAAGAGAAGCAAAATAAGACAATCCAGAGACTTTGTTTCCATTTTTTAGGGAGGGGTGAATGGGTTGAAGGGAGGGCAGGGGAATGGGGAAAAATTAAGAATCAAGATACAACATGTAAAGGTACAAGTTCCCAATGATGAATGTAACTGTATTGTGTACCTAAAAGGTACCAGTAAACTTACTTAAAAAATAAGATAATCCATAAAGAGGAGAAAAAAACAATCAATTGAAAACAATCTAGAATATAGATATTAGAATTAGCAAAAAGGTCACAAATGTATGTGTTCAAAAGTTAAGGAGAAATAGAACTAATAAATATAAAATTTAATAAATGGAACAAAAATTTTAGTACAAATATAGAATTTATAAATGTGTGATTCAAGTCAAACTTCTGAACTTGAAAACTTTAACATGTGAGATGAAAAGTATACTGGATAGGATTTGGCATTGCAAGAAAAGAGTTTAGTGAGCTTGAATACATAGTGATAGAGCCATCAAAATGAAACTGAAAGAGAAAAGAGTTTAAAAAATATGAAAATAAATTCAGCAAGCAACATCTAGTGGCTTAGTATATGTTCAATTAAAGCTCACAAAAAAGGGAGCAGTAAAACATATTTGAAGATACAATGGCAAAATAATTTCTAAATTAATGGAAACTAAAAGCCCAGAATCCCAAGAAATTCAACAAACGTCAAGTTCTAAAACAGGAAAAAAATCTATACCAAGGTACCCTGTAATCACATTGCTCAAAACCAGTGATGAGGAGAAAACCCTAATGTAGCCTTGTGTTTGTGGGATGGGAAGATTTTCTACAAGGAAGGACAATAAGGATGACAGCCAATCTCGGTGCCAATAATGGAGGCGAGAAGACAATGGAGCCGAATATGACATACAGTGAAAAAGCTGTCAACCTAGAATCCAATACCTAGTGAATATATCTTTCAAAAAGAAAGCGAAATAAAAACTTTTTTTAGACCCATAAAAGCCGAAAGCATTTATCACTAGGAGACTTGTACTCCAAGTCCCTTAGTCAGAAGGTAAATGGCACACTTTGGAAATAGCAACCAGCTCACGAGAGCAGAGTGTAGGGAGACACGATACTAGGACAAACACAGATGACTTTTTTTTTCTTATTACTTAAATACCTTGGAAGGAAAATTGAGTGCTAAATAAAATCACAGCCACAGTAAGAACATCTACACACATAGACATGTGGGGTGTGTAGCATACCTAAAAGCGGACTGCATGACAACATCATCACAAAGCTGTGGGGATGGGATGAAAATGTGTTACTGAAAGATTTCATTCGGTGCTGAAGAGATATACTGTCAATCATCAAAAACAGACTGCAGAACTTAAAGATATGTGCCAGGAACTTCAGAGAAGCCCTAAAATTACAAAACAAAAATTAAGAGGTAATAAGAAAGAAAGGATATTAAATGGAATCATAGAAATAGCTAGTCAACACAAAAAGAAAAAATGAACAAAAATACAACTAGAAAACAAATAGCAAGAGGTCAGATTGAATAAATGGGGAAAGGAGAGGTGAGCAGGCAGAGCACAGAAGATTTTTAGAGCAGTGACGCTGCTCTGTCTGATATGGTAATGATGCATACATGACATTACACAATCGTCAAAAAGTCCACAGAACTGGGTAACAAAAAGAAGAAGCCCTACTATTATCAATGGCCTTTAGTTAATAAAATATACTGATACTTGATGCGTTAATTTCATATTTCAAATTTAACAAATATACTACATTGATGCAAAGTTTTAATAATGGAAATGCTAGGGTGATGTCTCTGAGCGGTCACTTTCTGTTCAATTTTTTTGTAAAACTACTCTATTAATTCAAAAAAGACAGCTGGAATGGCTATATTAATATCATAAAGGAGATTTCAGAGCAAAGAATATTACCAGGAATAAAAATATCATTTCAGAATGATACAGGGATCAAATCACTAAGAGGGCAAAACCTTAAATGTTCACCTAATAACAGAGCTCTGAAATTTATGAAGAAAAGCAGATGGTGCAAGGAGGAGAGGTAGGAGAGTGCACAGCACACCTGAGGACCTCAGTCACCTCTCTCAAGAACAAACAGAACACACAGATCACAGAGCACTAAGTGCTTCAGTGCTTCGGAATGATGCTGAATATTGACTTGATCTAATTAATATGTACAGAAGAGTTCAGCACGCAGGGGAACATACATATTTTTGTGAGTATCTGAAACACATCTCAATCTAGACTATGTGAGGTCACAAAGCAACTCACAATGAATATAAAATATTTAAAATCCTATAAAACATGTTCTCTGACCATCCTAATGGAAATAAACTGGGAATCAGGAACAGAAAGGTGTCTGAGAGAACTCTAGATTTGCAAATGAAATAAGATACTTGTAAAGTATACATGAGTCAAAGAGAAATTAGAAACCATTCTAAACCAAATTAATGGGAAGATACAACAAATCAGAATTTGGGGCACTGTTAGAGCAGAATGCAGGGAAAGTTGTAGGTGCATTTGCCTGTATGAGAAAAAAACAAAGGATATGACCTCAGTTCACCTAATAACAGAGGACAAATTAAACAGGAACAAATTAAACCCAAAGTGACCAGAAGTGAAATCACAGATATTAGAATGAAAAACAGTGGAATCGAAAAAAATAAAAACAATAGAGAAAAGCAATGAAATAAAAAGCCAGTTTTAGAGATGAATAAAACTTGCAAATTTTTAATTACATTTATTAGTCTAATGACTAATTTTCAGAAGTCCCATATTGCCACTCTCAGGATTTAGAGAGGGGACCTCAATCCACACAGATCCCTCAGATATTAAAAGAATAATAAGGAATAACATGATCCAACTTTTGCCAATAAATTTGACAACTTTGGTGAAATGGACAAATTCCTTGAAAGACATAAATTCATTTAAGAAGCAATATATCACCGGAATAACCCTGTATCTATAGGAGAAATTGAATTTGTAGTTTAAAAGATTCCCACAATGAAACTAGTCCCAGGTGGCTTCACTGGTGAATTTTAAGAATGTAGGGAAGAAATAATATCAGTTCTATACACATGCTTTCCACAAAGTGAAACAAGAGGCAACACTTACCAACTCATTATTTGAGACCAGCATTACCCTGACACCAAAACCAGATATTCAAGAAAATAAAACCATAAGAAAAGATCTCTTATGTCTATAGATACATAAATTACAAACACAATTGTATCAAATCAAATCTAATGAAATGTAAAAAGGATAATATATCATGATCATGTGGCATTTATTCACCTAGAATGCAAGATTGATTTAAGATTAGAAAAGTCAATCAATCTAGTTTAGTGTTTTACAAGCGAAAAGAAAAAATTATATTATTGTCCCAGTAGGCTCAGCAAAGAATTTGACAAAATCCAACATCTATATTGTGATAAAAACTGTCAGCAGATAAGAGATAGGAAATGTCCTCAACCTGGTGAATGCTATCAATGAAATGTTTGCAACTAACATCTTTCTCAGTGATAAAGGTCGTATGTGCTCTCCCTCAGCTCAGGAGTAATACAAGGGCATCCTTCTCATCATTTCCAATCTGCACTATATTGAAAGCTGCAGTCAGTTTAGCAGGCGTGAAAAAGATACAAAAACCAGGAAGATTAGAAAGAGAGAAATAAACTTTCTTTATTCATAGACTTCATGATTGTCTTCATAGAAAATCTGATGGGATCTTCAAAAATGTAAATCTATTAGCAGTAATAACTAAGCTTAGTGATGTTGTAGAATACAAGATCAGTATATAAAAACAGTTGTATTTCTATGTATTAGCAAAACACAATTGGAAATTTAATTTAAAATACCATTATAAAAACATCAAAATTATGAAATACTTATGAACAAATCTGATTAAACATAGGAAATGCCAGTATGTTGAAAAACTATGAAATTGCTGCATGAAATAAGAAATATAAATAAATGGAGAGATATATCCTATTTATGTTTCAGAAGACTCAATATTGTAACAGTATTAATTCCCTCCAAATTGGTCTATGAAATCAATGAAAATTTTCTATTTCCTTCTTTCTATTTTTTTTTTAAAGTACTGCAGATGAAACCCAGGACCTCTCACATTCTGGGCAAATGCTCTACCCCTGAGCTACATCCCTAGCCTAAGGAGTTCCTTTTTAAAGAAATTATTCAACAGATTCTAACATGCATAGAGGAATATAAAGATCTGAGAGTAACCAAAACAATTTTCAAAAACAAGGAAAAAAAAACAAAAACAACATTGGATAGCCAAACTACATGATTTTGACTTATTATAAAACTACAGTTACATGACAGTGTTGTATTGGCACAAAGACAGATATATCAATGGAACAGAATATGAAAGTTAAAAATAGACCTAAACACATATGGACAAATGATTTTCAAAAAGGTGTGAAAGCAATTGAGCGTGGAAAGAACAATCTTTTCCACAAATGGTGCTGGAACAAAGAGACATTTCATCACATCCCCCTCCCAAAAAAGCAACTTCATCTATTCCTTTCACAATATACAAAAATTGTTTTAAAATGGATCAAAGACCTAAATATAAAACACAAAACTATAAAACTCCTAGGACAAAACATAAAGGAAAAAATCCTTTGTAACCTTGATTTAGGCCTGGATTTCCTCATATGGCACCTGAAACATAATAAAAAGAACAAATTAGACTTTAACAAGATTTTAAACATGTGTTCTCAAAGACACTGTTAATGGAGTGAAGAAATAAGCCATAAACTAGAAAAAAAATATTTTCAAGTTATCTGCCTGGCCAAGCACTTTAAATCACAGCACAGAAAGAGCCCTCAAAATTCAAAAATAAGAAAACAAAAAATGGGTGAAGGATTTGAATAGACCCTTCAACAAAGACACAAGGAGTGACCAAAGATACAGTGAATGTTTCAATTTAAAATTTTCATTGTAATAAAAGACATATTGCTATGAGTCTCCTTAAAATATTCCCCGTTGTTTCCAACACACCTATCGAATCGTTCTTGCCACATTCTGAAGTGGTTCTGGAATTCCCCTTTTCTGACTTTCTTTCCATGGTGTGGTCACAAATACAGCAAATGTTGCTGCTGCCTGGGGCCATCCAATGGGAAGGCAGACGGGCGAAAACATTACAGTGTATTCTCATCTACTTCAGTCTCCTGAATCTGCCTCTGAGTGACTTCTGGTTCTTCCCCACCATCAAAATCAGCAAGAAAGGTAAGTTTTGAATCAGTTCAGGTCATCGTAGCACCCACAATGGTGTAACTAAAGACACTCATGAAAGGGGATTTCCAGAACTGCTTTAGAAAGTGGCAAGCAGGATGGGATAAGTGTGTTTGAAATGAGGGGAGTCTTTTGAGGGGATTAATGGCAACGTGTCTTTTATTGTAATAAGTTTTCTAAAATTTAAAAGTACTGTATTTTTAATCACACCTAGAATAAGGATGTTAATAAGTGTCTGGAAAGATATACAATACCAATAATCATTAAGAAATGGAAACTACAACCACAGTGAGACACACCTGTTAGAATGTTCCTAAGTGAAAAAAACTGACATCACGGAGTGTAGGGCACATGGGGAGGACCCACAGCTCTCACCCCGAAAGAATGGCGGATGGCACAGCTACTCTGGAAAAGAGTTTGATGGTTTCTTCAAAGCTAGATGTATCCCTATTCTATAATGCAGCTGTTCTCCCAGGGAGAGAAGAAAATGTGTCTCAACAAAGTTTCCCCTTGAATAGTCACAGCAGATTTGTTTATAAAAGCTGAAACCTGCGAGCAGCCCACCCATCAACAAGAGAATGGGCAGCAGTGGTGCACCTCATTCAAGCGAACACCACTGCACCATGAAAAGGAAGTTAAGGATCCATATACAATGTAGCTAGATCCTGCATAAATCCACACAGCAATGTGTATTGAATGGAAGAAGCCAGACTTCTCCTCCATACAGAAACTCACTTCCTTTGCTGACATGAGAAAGTGCATACAACAGATAAAATATTGTTATCAGACTGTGAAGAACATGTATGAATTAATGAGAAAGGACAGATGACACCTTAATGGAAAACTGGGTGGGGAATGTGAACAGCCAGTTCACAAAAGAGAAAACAAAATGTAACTAAATACCTGAAAAGGAACTCAATCTCACTAGTCCTTGTGGAAAACAATGAATTGAAAGCACAGTTTTTCCCCAGCAAGGTGGCAAAGCTAGAAAGGCCTGGCAGCAGTGATGTTAGGGTGTGGGACAGGGTGTCTGACCTGCCATCCATGAGAGGACCTCAGAGCCATCTTGCTGGAAAACAGACATAGCTGTGAAGTTGCTTATGGACCAACAGTACCATTTCTAAAAAGTTCCTCACCCAGGTGTGGTGGCACCTGCCTATAATGCTAACATCCTGAGAGGCTGAGGCAGGAGGATGGCAAGTTTGAGTCCAGCTCAGGCAACTTAGCCAGGTCTTGTCTCAAAATAAGAAGGGTTGTAGCTCAGTGATAGAGTGCCCCTGGGTTCAATCCCCAGTGCTGCAGAAGAAAAGAAAGAAAAGAAAGAGAGAGAGAGTGAGGGGGAGAGAGGGAAAACACATCCTGAGGCTGAGGCAGGAGGATGGCAAGTTTGAGTCCAGCTCAGGCAACTTAGCCAGGTCTTGTCTCAAAATAAGAAGGGTTGTAGCTCAGTGATAGAGTGCCCCTGGGTTCAATCCCCAGTGCTGCAGAAGAAAAGAAAGAAAAGAAAGAGAGAGAGAGTGAGGGGGAGAGAGGGAGGGAGAGAGAGGGGGGCAGGAGAAAAGAAATAAGAAAAAAGAAAATTCCTCAGGACACAGAGAGGTGTGTGAATGCTCCCTATGGCATCCTTGTGCTAGCAAAGCTAAGACGCCATGTTCCCATCTGTCAACAGCATGGTGGACTAGCCCTCAGCAGTATGCTTACTGAAAAGCCTGGTGCTATGCACCTGAGCTGGAGCTCCACTCATGAGGTGGGTAATCCCAGAGTGGAGGGTAACGCCTCCCTGTGGTGTGTTGTGCATGGAAGCATACACCTATGCAAAGTTTAAAACCCTACAAAATAAAGGAACATCAGGTATTGATCATGAGAATATAAACATGCGCAGGAGAAAAACACAAGTGAATGATAAATACTCAATTGCTGGCAAAGACTGACAGGAACGAGGAGGGTGGCATAGAGCTGTCCCTCCTTCCCCTCTGAGTCTGGACTGTGGCTCTATGGATGGTGGGCTGTTAGCTGGTGAGACAGCAGGGGCTTACACAAGCATGGGTCTGAGCGAGGACACATGTCCAGCGAGGAGGGCATGTCCAGGCTGCTGCTGATGCAAAAGGAGGTGAGAGTCCCACGGGCCAGAACCAAAGTGCCCATCACCCTGACCAAGACCAACAGCTAGTGAGCCCCAGACATGTGCGGCCCCTTCTCTCTGGTCAAGTGCTGCGGCAGTTTGTGGCTGCTGGAGATGAACCATTTGAGAGGCAAATGTTCACTGGTACATGTTCCCGGCTGTCTTGGACACCATTGTGATGGGCGTCCTCTGCAGGGTCCCTTGTAGGTCCCTGCATGAGTTCCTCTGAGATCTGGTCCTAGGGGTGGCTGCTGCACTCCATGTGCTCCACCAACACGCTATCTGCAGGGCAAGAGTCCAGCCTCACACGCCCTCCCGACATTCCGCGGCACCCTTCTTCCTAACCAATGACATCGTATGGGTAGGGAGTAGGTGTATTTGCTTGTGCTTCCAGATACCTGTTGAAGTTCAGCACGTCTTCCTGTGTTCCTTGGCCATTCAGGGGGCTCCTGTTGCAAATGCCTCCCTGTCTCATTTGCTACTTCCCAGTGGTCTACAGGGAGGCGGCAGGGGCACCTGAGGGCAGAGGGCAGCCTGGGCCACACAGACTTCACGCTCAGAGCTGGACTCTCACACGCTCTCTGGCTTGCTAGTCCCTTTCTTGCCTTCAAATGGGCTCCTGGGGAGTGGGAGGGGGTGGAGCAGAATTTTGGACACACCCACCGTCCTGGGACACCCAATATATGCCTGTTGCCTCACAGCAGCAGCAGTGAGTTGCATCCAGCATCCTCTTCCTCCCAGGATCCTGGTCAGTGCATGCTCCTTCTGTGCATTTCTGCTGAGCTGTTGCTTGGGGTATTACCCGTTGTTGCAATATATTATTGCCGTGGACCCTGCATGTTAGATCTCAGTATCAGCAAAACGAGCCAAGGAAATGCATTTATTATTAACTTATGATGGATATAAGATGGACTGCTTTCCAGATGCTGGCCTTGAGGGTAACCCAGGAGAAATGACTGGTACTTAAGGCCACTTCCCTCCCTAGACACCAGGAGAGGATGCTCAAGGCAGACCTGAAAATGATGAACGGAGAAGATGCTGTCCCCACTTCGTCCTCTGGTCTGTCACACAGGACAGCTCACACCTAGGGCCCACCTGTGAGATGATGATGAGGACCGCAGTGCCTGTCACGCCGCAGTCTTCCTCACACCACCATGGCTCCCTGGGAGCTCAGTGAGTACTCTGCTTAACGCTCACCACGTGCTGTTTAATTTGATCTGTGCAACAGCCCCACACCAGGACTGCCATTGTCTGCATGAAATGGGGCCGCATAAATGTATCACATTTGGTGTTCTCATCCAAAACATGGCAAGGTATGAGGCAGTGGAGGTGTGGATCGGCTCCACCCATCACCCCACAGTATGTGTTTCAAAAAGTCACGTTGTGCATGATGATGCACACAATTTTCATAAATTAAAATAAATTTAAAAAATACAAAAAGTTGATATTTAGTTCCTTGTGTACCTAAAATTGAGGCGAAATAACGTCTCTTGGCCTGGGGAATAGCTCAGTGCTAAAGATCTTACCTAACATGCATAGGACCCCGCGATTGATCCCAGCACCACAAAATAAATAAATAAAATGAAACTAAATAAAAAGTAAAATGCTGTGAGAAGGATAGGGAAAGGGGAATAAGGGAAAAGGAAAAAAATATGAGAAAATGTAAAAATGGAATTAAAGTGTTTGAAGGTGGGGAGGGGAGGAGGGGGTGAAGGGAGGGCAGGGACAAGAGGAAAAAATGAGAACCAAGACCTGGCATGTAAAGGTACAAGATCCCAGTAATGAATGTAACTCTACTGTCTACCTAGAATGTACCAATAAATTCAATTTAAATTTTAAAAAAAGAAAAGAAAAAGTAAAATGCTGTTCCTCTTAGTCATTGAGCTATTCCTCTTGGCCATTTGCATTCATCTTGCAGGAATCCTAACCTTGTGGGAACCTAGCTTTATATAATTTTTTAATATTTGTTCACCTTGAATAGTTTTTCAATACCTTTTTTCCCCTAAATTTGCCTTAAAATAGTGTTTATCTGGGTTACTGAGTTCTTGGTCAACTTCTTAATCTTTGCACCTGCAAGAGGCCCAGACACCTACCTTGGGGAAAGTTCTCTCCAGTCCCACTGAGCTTACAGAGATAGGGGACAGTCCCGGATATGACCAGTAACTGGATAAGACGGGGCTGAGGCCCTATGCTCTGCCTTTACTCCCACCCCCATCCTCTCTCAGCCCTGGGTGCTGCCTGCCTCCCCTATACCCCAGGGCACAGGCAGCACTGGGCTAGTCCTTACAGGGGTTAATCACTGCCT